TTTTTTTTTTTTTTTTTTTTTTTTTTTGCAGTACTGGGACCCAATCCAGGACCTTGCACTTGTGAGACAAACATGGCACCAAGGAACACCCAGCCACAGAACATGCAATACTTGAGCCTAGCTCATTTCAAATAATGTAATGTTCTCTGCTTTCCTTTTTCCTACAGATGGGGTGAATTCATTCTTCTTTATGACTGAATAAAATTCCATTATGTATATATACATTTTCTTCATCCACTCATTGGTTGATGGGAACCTAGGCTGATCCTGTATTACAGCTGATGTGCCAAAGAAACGGGAATGTGAGTCTCTGACAGGCCAATTTGATTTCCTTTGGCTTATACCTAGAAGTGGTATAGCTGGATCATATGGTAGATCTGTTAGTTTTTTGAGAAATTTCTATAGTTTTCCAGAAGAACTCTATGTAATCCCACCAACAGCGTGTAAGCTTTTTCCTCCCTAGCAAGGTGTGGTGACACACACCTGTAATACAGCTACTTGGGAGGGTGAGGCAGGAGAATTGTCAAATTTAAGGCCAGACGGTGCATCTTAGTGAAAGCCTGTTTCAAAAAGTAAAAAAAGGGTTGGGATACAGCTCAGTGACACAGCATCCTGGGTTTGGGCCCCAGAATAGGAAAAAAGTGTTTCTTTTTCTCTGTAATCTCACCAGCATTTGTTATTTTTATTTTCAGAAATAGCTATTCTATGGCCAGGGATTTAGCTCAGTGGTTCTACCACCTGCCTTGCAAGCAAGCGCAAGGTCTCAAAGTTCAAACCCTAATACAAACAAGAAAGAAAGAAAAAAGAAACAGCTATTCTAGGGGATGGTATCTTACTGTAGCTTTTATTTGTATTTCCTTCATAACATGATATTGAACATTTTTTCATACATTTATTGTCCATTTGTACTTTTGAGAAATGTCTAGGTCTTGTGAAATTTTTTTTAGTTCCTCATATATTCTGGATAGTAAGTCTCTCAGGTAAATTTCTTTCTCATTTTGTGGATTATTTCTTCACTCCATTGACTGTTTACTTTGCTGTGCATAATTTTTTAAATATAACTTTTTGTCAACATTGTTTTTATTTCCTGTAAATCACTGCCTATACTGAGGCCTGAAGTGTTTCTCCATGTTTTTTCCAAGTTGTTTCAGGTCTTACATTCATGATTTTGAACAATTTTGTCCAGGGTGAGCAATAGGAATCTATCTTCAATCTTCTACATGTGGATATCCATTTGTCAAACACTGCTTGTTGAAAAGGCTGTCCTTTCTCCAGTGTTTTTTTTTTTTTTTTTTTTTTTTTTTTGTG